AGAGCAGCCTCTAATGGCTGGGTTGGGTCTGATATGGAAGTTTTTCTCTTGGTGATGAAGACTCAGGTAGGGCAACAGAATATGCAGCAGTGAGATCTAAGGACAGATCATCTGATGAAATAAACACTTCAGATAAGGTCAGAATGACCAGATAGCCACTCTGAGAAATGGGGCCCCAACAGGCATCAGTATCACCCAGAAAGGGGGAACAAGACATCTATGCAAGCACTGCTTGATTCTTTTTCTTAACACTCAAACCATGACAGACTATGCCAGGCACCATACAGAAACTCTGTACACCTAAGCCGTGGCTAAGAGGATTAGACTCCAAGCTCCCTTATTCATCTTTGAGGGCTTGAGTGAGCTGAAAGTGTGGCACAAGGTACATGCTCCAGGTTTGCCAGCCCAATGAATGGTCCCACAGGCCAACAAATGGCTGGAAAAAAAAGAATGACCAAAACTCTTTTTGAGTCAGCCTCAGGGTTGAGTGAAGATGTATGAGTGTGAAAAGAAATGAGAATAGACTATGGCTTCCAATAACAATAGTTATGTGGAGAGCTAGAGCCAAGGAGGGGTCTCAAAGAAAAATAACCAAATCAGAAACACACAGGGACAACAGAATTCACTACACTAAAGGTTGAATTTCTTTGGGGAAAATATTGAAATAGGTTTGACAAGGTCTTAGTAAATGAGTCTGAATCTTAAAAAAGAAATATGAATATCCTCAGAAAAGTTTAAAGTAGTAAAATAAGTGGAAAAAATTTTAATTCTCACTAAGTCAGATCTCTGGTCATATCTAAACTCAAGTAAAGGGTGAAACAAAATATTTATATGAAAAGTATTTGGTCAATGAGGCTTCATACTCAATCAATTTGGTCAATTAATTTGTGTAGTTGTTTGAAACAATACCAGAGAATTCTGTCTCTCTTCTTTACGTGTGTTTTATATAGCATAAGATGCCTAGAGAGCTTTTAGTTAGTGGATATAATAGAAAGTAAAAATGGAACTAAATGATTTTTAAAAGACTAATAAGATTTTTCTGCAGTACTATGCACAAACCAAACTATATGCTATCTGGATGAAACAAAACCTTAAGTTAGAGAAAACTTTGAAAAAAAACTTCCTCATTAGAAGCCTAAGAAACATATGATATATCCTGAACATCATGCTAGGCACTTTCAAAAATATTATTTCATTAATAAATGCATTTATGGGCTAGGCACAGTGGCTCATGCCTATAATCCCAGCACTTTGGGAGACTGAAGTGGGAGGATCACTTGGACCTAGGAGTTTAAGACCAGTCTGGGCAACATGACAAAACCCTCTCTATAACACACACACCCACACCCCCACACACACACACAAACTGAGCATGGTGGCATGTGCCTGGAATCCCAGATACTCATCAGGAGGCTGAGGCAAAAGGATCTCTTAAGCCTCAGGAGACTGAGGCTGCAGTGAGCTGTGATTGTGCCACTGCCCTCTAGCCTAGGTAACAGAGCAAAACCCTTCTCAAAAAAATGAAATGCATTTATGACTTGTTTTCCAATGCAATACTAAAAACTAACTTAAAAATTACTAAATCAAGCATTTTAGTTTTCAAATTATGCTGTGTTAAAAAGGAACTTCCCTTACAAAAAAATTACTAATTCTGTTTCAGAAGTTATATTTGAGTAGTCATTCAAAGTGATAAAACTATTAATGTTTGTTTCCTTTATCTTTTGTTCTAACCAAATGGAACAGAGAGAAAGGCACTAGATATGCTACTCTGTGGCTTAAATTCATATTAAGTTTGCTTTATATTAGGGCAGCCTTTAGCTAAAGTTTCATATAAGCCCAAAGGCCACAATGTTCTAAATATCTAAGTCTCTAAGATTCTGGGGTGTCTATGCTGCTTTGGGGACATCCTAGTGCACGGTTGTCTGGAGTTGGTGAGACAAACACCCGATTCCTCCTTCCATGAAGCCGAAGTTGCTCCAGACCACTCCATGGTCTCCGATTCCACCTGCCACCAGCTATGCTATCCCTAGGAAAGGGCAGCATACTGTAGGGTTATACTTAGTACTGGAGACCACCAAGGTTATTCTGAACCCAAGGGTGTGCCTTCAAATTCACAGGGATCTTTGGAGAATAGCAATGATGACCAAAATGCTTATAAGGGTTACTTTCATTTTAAAAATATTTGTACCACAATTTTACATTAACTTATAATAATAATAATAATAATAAAAGAAACGTAACTACCTGTGCCTTTTTAGCCTCCCCCCCAAAAAAAAAAAAAAAAAAAGTAAGGAAAAATGTCTCTGGAGATGGGTCTCCACAGGAAAAGCAAAAATATTTTTCTGGCAGAGGGAAGGGAAAATTAGTTCTTTGACCTGGTTTCAACATTCCTCAATAGGCAACAATGGGTGAGACAAAGCATGGCTCTGAGCAGCCTTATCACAGAAATGTAGAGCTGACCCCACCTAAGAACCAGCTGCACAGAAGCAGCAGCATCTCCTATCCGCCCATGGGCCAGCTGAAATCTGGTTAATGCATGGAGTTGCTCCCAACTTTCCCAGTGTGTCATATTCTCTATGGTTACAACAAACTCAAGGGATTTCCAAAATCAGCACTCACTCACTGAGCCAGGAAGAAGAAAACAATCCTATTTCAGTAATTTAGATCTCAAACTGGTTTTCTGGGGGCAATTCATTTGGAGGATATAAAATCAACTGGCTTCTTGAGAGAAAAGGGCCAAGGTTCTAGCAAATTAAGTCCATCTTACTCCTCAAAACTTAACTCTGCTCCGTCTCCTTCTTGTGTGTTAAAATAAAAGTACTTCAAGCAGTGCTGCATAAACCAGGCTATCCTCGAAAGGAAGATGCTCAATAATGGTAAGGTGGAAATCAGATGGAGTCAAACAGAACCACATGCTAACCGTGCAGGACTGAGTGAAATGGTCACACTATTCAAAACACTTTCTCCTCTGCACTCTCATCTTTTGCTTACTAAACTGAATTTAGTCAATTAAACTATAAGCAAATGCCCTATTATAGACAAATTCAGCTCTAGGGGTCACACTGCCATGGTTTGCAGAAACACTATTTAAACTGGCAGGGTTATAAAAGTAAGGATTAAAATGGATCAGGTTCACATTTCCATGTGAGACAGTTTTGTATTTTACAAGGCCAAGGACTGACAGGTGAGAATAATGCCTCTCCTATTCCTCCCTTGACAGTGAATCCTGTTGTTTGCTTTACTCAAAACACAGTTGGTGTGTTTAAGAGTCTGCTTGTTTCTATTGTACAAAGGCGAGAGAATGTAATATGTTGGAGACATATGCCAAGAGAACAGTTAGGGAGGAAAGAACACAAGGTGCTTCTAATACTTATCTGGAGGATATTGACAGAGTCTTCCCAGAAAAGGAAACACTGCTGCTACAAAAAGCCAGACATGCTCATTACTGTGGTGCAAGACTTATGGAGAGGACTTTGGATAATGAAATTTGAGGAGTGAAAGGCCCTTTGTTTTCCGCTAACTCAGGAATGTCCATATGGGACAGAGATTGGACAGACAAGCCCAACTCAGTGAAGGGCTTTGCTGCTCACAACTGTCTCAGGATCAACCTGACAGCTAGGCCCCTGTTCAAGAAATCTAAATCATCATCTTAGTTAAACACAAATGAGTCAGAGGCTAAATAATAGGATCCTGTCCCTAACAGTGAGATAAACATTGCAACAAGGATGTATTAGCTATAAGGTTTATCAGAAGTGCACCAGAGGGCTGGGAGCAGTGGCTCAAGCCTGTAATTCCAGCAGTTTGGGAGGGTGAAGTGGGCGATCACCTGAGGCCAGGAGTTCAAGACCAGCCTGGCCAACGTGGTGAAACCCCATCTCTACTAAAAATACAAAAATTAGCCATGTGTAGTGGTACGTGCCTGTAATCCCAGCTATAAGGGAGGCTGACGCAGGAGAATCACTTGCACCTGGAGGTAGAGGTTGCAGTGAGCCAAGATCACACCACTTGCACTCCAGCCTGGACATCAGAGCAAGACTTCCTCTCAAAAAAAACAAACAAACAAATGGAACTCCACCAGGGACAGGGCTAAACAAGCACATTATCTAAAACGACAAATGTCCACTGAGCACTTTTTGTTTATTAACTCGCTTCATCCTCCTGACAACCCATGAGGTAGGTACTATTTTCCTCCTCGTTATACACACGGAGGAACTGAGGCACAAAGTCTTAAGTTATGTAGCAGATAAATGACAGAGTGAGGACACGTTCCTTGCCTTTCTGGTTTGGGAAATTACTCTGAGCACTATACTGCCTATCAAACAAAAATGACTAACAATCTAACATGTACTGAGCACTTGGGTAGACCAGGCCCTCTTCTAACCATGCTACATGATTACCTCCCTTAATACCCATAACAAACCTATGAAGACACTGAGGCAGAGAGACGTTCAGTAAGTAAGCCAAGATTACCACCCAGGAAGTGGTCACTGCAGGATGTGAACTGACGTCATCCAGCTCCAGAGCCCTTACTCTTAGCTACAGCAACACACTGCTGTCTGAATCTGGCTTAATCTCCACAAGGGGACTATGAGGGACCTTTTAACACCTTTTTGCAGGTGAGGGAAACCAAAGCTCAGCAGCTAGTACAGGGAAGACGTTGAGTTTGGGCACAAACTCAACTCCTCCAAGTTGTAAGTCTCCAGAGCTTAAGAGTCTATGTTTTTGACCATGGCATATGAATAACTTACCAGAAGGCCATGTGCCCCAGGAACTGATGGGAACCTTGTCCCAAAGGTAGCAAAGTATCCTAATGTCAAGCATGAGGAACTGATAACATGAAGGCCTCTCCCCGTTTGCAGCTACGGTTCTTACAAGAGAAACTTTCCTCAAAGTCTCTACCTCTTACTTCCCTCAGAATGATAATAAGGCAGCCCCAAAATATTATGCCCCGCTTCTCTGCCCTCAACATCTCCAACAACAGTTAAACCATTTGCACTTACACTTTAAATGCTGGGAGGTAGGAATATATAGAAATGCTGCTTAGGTTATAAATAAATGGCAGGTGTTTTCTGATATCAGTTGTTGCCCAGCTGCTAAAAAATGTGTTCAGTATGCCTTGGTCCCCACCTAAAAGAAAAAAACATATAAATTAGTTAACAGATCTATAGGGCAGTTTAATAACTTTAATGGAGCACATGCTGGACCTTTAAAAATACACTAATTCCATTTTTATTTTAATTTTTTGAGATAGAGTCCCGCTCTGTCACCCAGGCTGGAGTGCAATGGCACAATCTCACTTCACTGCAACCTCTGCCTCCCAGGTTCAAGTCATTCTCCTGTCTCAGCATCCCAAGTAGCTGGGACGACAGGCACATGCCACCACGCCAGGCTACTTTTTGTATTTTTAATAAAGATGGGATTTCACTGTGAGGCCAGGCTGGTCTTGAACTCCTGATCTCAAGTGATCCGCCCGCCTCAGCCTCCCAAAGTGCTGGGATTACAGGCGTGAGCCACCACACCCGGCCCCCATTTTTTTTTTTTTTTTTATTTTTTTTTTGTATTTTTAGAAAAGACTGGGTTTTACTGTGTTGGCCAGGGTGGTCTCGAACTCCTGACCTCATGACCCATCTGCCTCGGCCTCCCAAAGTGCTGGGATTACAGGCATGAGACACCACACCCAGTCCGCTCCCATTCTTAAATAAGTTCCTTGACATACCAATTAAAAACACTTTAGGGAGTGACCATTTTCCTGATGTAACTCATTAATTCAACAAATATCTATTGAGCAGCTACTATGTACCAGATACTGTACTAGGCATTGCAGAGTCAACAGTGCACAAGAGATGTGGTCACTGTCTTTACAAGGATTGTGTGGGAGACACCAATAGCAGCAAATCAAGAGTCAACAAACATCACACAGAGGGAGATGAATGCAGTGAAGGAAATTTACATGGCACTACAAGCACATGTGGAAGAGGCTCAAGCTACATCTGATGGGTGAAGGAAGGCTTCCACGAGGAAGTTGTGTTTAAGCCAGTATCTGAGGGGTGCACAGGCATACCTGACAAATGCAGATGCAGGAAAGAAGGCAGACAGCATTCCAGGCAGAACAAAAACAGCGCACACCACAGACCTTTGGTGGGCAGGAGCATGAGGCTATGGAAAGAAGGCCTGGTAGGTGGCCTGTGTATGTGGACTTAGCAGGAATGAGTTGCAAGGCACCAGGTGAGTGAGTCTCAGAGAGGGCGGCAGGGACCAGATCACATGGGGATCAGATTTTACTCTTTATTTCCAGCTAAAGATTTCAGACTCTACCCTGAGTGTAATGGGGCAAAAAGAAGCAAAAAGTAAAAGAGCAAACTGGAACAATGGAATTGTTTTCCAGGGCCCACAACTACTGGCTCATCAACAGAGGGTCCAGAAGGCCACATTCCCCCTGTGGTGCACTCTCCTTCCACTGACCAAAAGTCTCTGGCAGATCCCGGTCAGTCATAACTGTAGCCAACATCAGCTACAATGATACAGCAAAGTGTCTGCTCAGCCCTTGGGATCCCTGGACTTCATACTCAGAAAGTGGGGACCATGGCCATTCATTCAAAAGAAATAAAAACAACAGAAATCTAAACAGCCAAGTGTCTGACATAAATCATAAGCTCCTAAATAGCCAAACAGCTCACTAAGCCACCTCAAGACACATTCTTCCATGTAGTTCATGTGCTTTCTATTTTAGACTCATGAGATTTCAAAAAACACACTCAGAACCAGAGTCTCCCAAGCAGCAGAACAGGTGCTCACCATATGTGTGCCTGTGCATGAGTGCATATGTGCGAGTGTACAGGGGATGGCAGGCAGGGAGACACCTGCTCTAAGTGTGAGGCAGGAATACTGCATAATCACTCCTCTCTTCAGTCTGCTTTGCTGAAAAATCCAGTTCCTTTCTCAACATACAGCAAGTCCAGTTGGCTGTCATTACTATTCAGTTTTCCTTAGTTTTGAAGGAGACTTCAAAAATTTAGAGATCTGTTTAATTTTTGGAGTTAGGCAGTAAGATCAGGATTTTAGGTTTAAAGTCCAAGTGTACCTTATCCACCCTCTGCGTATTCTATCGTTTCCAAGTACCTTCAATCAACTCTAAAAACCAAAAGCACTCACTTATTGTCTATGAGGAAACCCCTCCCTAAACAGCACTCCTGACAGGTCTCCATTCCTCAAGGGATGAACAACAGAAAATCAGTCTCACTCTTCTAAGTTCTGAAGTACAATAAAGATGGCAACAGAATATGCTTCACTGCTACAAAAATGCAATGGACTGAATGTTTAGATACCCCCAAATTCCTACACTGAAATCCTAACCCTAAAGTTGATGGTATCTGGAGTGGGACCTTTAAAGCTGATTAGGTCATGAGGGCTCTGGCCTCATGCATAGGATTTGTGCTCTTAAAAAAGAGGCCCCAAAGAGGTCCTTCACCTCTCCCACCACATGCAGCAGTTATAACAAAAAGACAGAAATAAAAAAGCTGTCTATGACCCAGGAAATGGGCCCTCTCCAGATACTGAATCTGCTGGCACCTTAATCTTGGAATTTCCAGCCTCTAGAACTGTGAGAAATATATTTCTGTTGTTTATACGCCATTTAATCTATGGTATTTTATTATAGCAGCCTGAATAGACTAAGACAACAGACAGACATGAGAACAAAAGACAATTTTAGCTATATGGGCAAATCAATGTATTTTGAGGCACAAACTAATCAAAGCCAAAAGATCATGCCATTCATCAAAGGATTATTTTTGATTCTACAAAGAAACCCCAAATGTGGGACTAGACACCAGTGGCTGAAATACAGAGGCCTGAAGTCTTAACTAATTTCCTTTTACACATAATCATCAAAATACTGCCAATCAGTTGCATGGGAACAGAAAAAAAGGGCTAAGGAAATGTTCATAGCAGCTTTATTCATAATCGTACAAACTGAAAACAGTTCAAATGTCATTCAACAGGTGCATGGATGTGGTACATCCATGTGGAATATTACTCAGCTATAAGACAAAACAAACTAGACACACACACAACGACCTGGATGAATTTCAAAGTAATGACGCTAAGTGAAAAACTCCAATCTCACAAAGTTATACACTATGTAATTTCATTTATATAACATCAAATAATAAAATTATAGAGATAGGAAGCAAATTAATGGCTGCCAGGGGAAAGGGAAAGAATGAGAGATGCAGCTGTGGTTGTGAAAGAATATGAAGGATCCGTGTGATAGTACTATTCTGCATCTCGACTATGGTAGTGGTCACACCAATCTGCACGTGTGATAAAGCTGCATGAAAACCAAAAGTGCATACAACATATACACACAGAAAGGGGAATACATATAAAACTGGTCAAATCTGAGTAAGGTTGGTGGATTGTTCCAGTGTCAATCTCCTGGTTGAGGTGATACATTTCAATTATATAAGATATTACTACCAATAGGGGAAACCAAATGAAGCTTACATGGGATCTTTCTGTATTATTTCTTAAAGCTGCATAGAAATCTACAGTTCTCTCAAAATGAACAGGTTTTTAAAAAACTCTTAGGATTAATGTGCAAAATAGAATCCGGAATTAGATGCTAAATTCCACAAGAACTGGGATTATGGCTTTTCACTTACTCTTATAATGCTAACATGTAGCAGAATGCCTTACACATAGGCAAATTATTTATGAAATGAATGCAAGAATCTTGAAGATACTCTGTAACAGCAGAAAAATGTAAATAACTTACATATTCTAACATACAGGAATAGTTAGTATACTGTAATACTAACTACTCATGAAATATTATTCAGCAATTAAAACTAATGTCTATAAAAACAACATCCATACACTGTGTCATATAAAGATATATAGCTACTTACATTGTGATTATAACTAAGAACATAAACATTAATAAACATTTATATTACTAGAAAGTAAATAAAACAATAGCAATTACATTAGGGGACTGGTGTAACAGATGTCCTTTCCCCCCTTTTTCCTAATATATTATTTTTGTTATTCTGAAATATTAGGAATACAACTGGGGGCAAGAATGAGAACTGTGCTTAGATCTTTTCTTTCTAAATATTCTTCACTTTTAATTTTTATTATGGAGTATGATACACCAAAAGAAAAATATATGTGTGGGCTATAAAGGATATTAATAATGAAACTCTCCAGATTTATCCAATTTGAGAACTTGGACATTGTAAGACCTTTTTTAACTTAAGCAATTCCACTTAAAATCACTAACAGCTACCCATAAGGCAGTAAAGAAAGTTCATTCCATGGAGGCCGAAATAGTTGTAAAGTAGAACTTCCAAATCTGACCTGCGTGAGCCTGGGAAACAGGAGTCAGAGCTGCTGATCCCTCAAAGTCCCTGGCTGCCTGCCTTTGGCCACAAAAGGCCGTTTCTGTTTACCCTCAGGTACCCTACAAACATCATCAGCCCATCAGCTGTGTGCCACGACAAGGCTGGGAAGCACTTGTTGTACAGAAAACAAGCAAGGAGGAGAAGAAGCACTGAAGCAGAACTGGTGAACCAATGGTGCCTGTTAAATTGGCAAACCCTGAAACACTCAACAAGAACCCTGGCTCCAGAGGGGACAACACAGGTTGTAAAACTCCCATGGCCACTGACCTCATGTGATGACAAAGGGTCACCATTTAGTCCAAAGTTGTAGGTTAAAAGTAAACTAAATGCCATCTAGAAGTCCGTAGCTGAATTTTTAAATTCAGTGGTCTGGAAATCATAACCACCTTTTCCCAAATGCGCAGTTCAACATTTCAAGGTCAGGCAAATGTTTTAACTTCATCAGAAAAATCTATGTATGGTGTTATCAATACCCTCTCTTTAGAAAACAATCTTTAAATGAGAGGACAGTTCAAAGCAGAATGCAAATCTAGGCACATCTGTGTGACAAAACATACAACGATGCCCTAAAGACTGCTGAATTTCCACAACAAAACCCTGGTATGTTTGTCCGATACATTTTAGACTTCCAGGGGCAGCTTTATTTACTCTGACAGGTTAAGATACTTTTAATCTCACTCATCTCAGAACCAACAAACATGATTAGCAGGCTTCACCAGCAGC